TAAGTTCCAGTTTTTCAAAACTAAACTCTAAATACTAGAAATGCATTCCTAGGGTATGATCACTTTAGGAATGGCTATCTAGTAGCCAAGAGAAGAAAAATAACACTCTAAAGCAATCCAGATAATAAAATATAAGGTAACCTCATTAATTTTTTTCTTATGGGGATATTGATCAGGTTTAATCAATCTCCTCTTTTCTTATCCTTTAGGCCTTGGGGTCAACCTGATTTACTAATCACAGTATTATGAACTTTTCAGAGCTTTCTACTTAGAACATTTAGAAAAGCAAAAGTGTCTCTATAATTTCAGAAGTGGCAGAGACGTATGCCAGCACAATCATGAAAACTAGCTTAGAGGTAAAGCTCAAGACCACACAAATCTCCATTCAGTCAATAAATATTTAGAATGCCCAGCACATGTCAGGCTACGGTAACTGAGGCAAGCTGACTTTCCTCTTTCCAACATTTACTGGCAGGTATTAGACCATTCTGATCACACTGGGTAGAGAGAAGAAGATTTGAAATTTTAAAAAAGAAAGAAAGATAACATATGGTTTTCTCAATTTCTTACAGTTTTCAATAAGATATTTGATATTTACTTTTAACTAAATATTTTTAATTAGACTCATTTCTAAAAATTGGCTATAATCTTAAATAAATTAGGCCCCATATAACCAGTCTAAGCTATTTTATTTCAGTAGTTTAACCTTTTCTTCTCAGAGTAATCAAATAGAGAAAGAACTATTCATTGCAACCTAAACAGATGCCCTGATCCAGCAGGAGATAACCTACTTTTTGATTGCCATTTTAGATCATTATCTGGCTCGAACCCTTTTCATATTTAATTAGCACATATCCCTTGGAAATTTAAGAAGCATGACTCAGAAAATACTACGGTTTATAGTCAAATTAAAGAACATCTGTCAATGGGCACAAAGTTATTTATGAATGCACGTTATTAAAAGATGTTACTTAAAAGTTTAAAGTCATTTCACAGAGTCTGGTGCTGAAAGACATGGTGAATCCCGAAATTTTAAAAATGAGAATAGTAAGCAAAATTTAAGGCTATCAATAGAATTTTCTTGCAAGTATTCACAAAATGTCCACAGACTTCTGTATGCTCAGAGTATAAATGTTAATTGTGCTTTGCTCTTAGATAATTTTGTATACTTTTTTGGCATACTCTTCCTGGATCAGTCCAGCATTTGTGGGGGAGGGGTACTCCTATAAACATCATAAAGGTGTTTATCAAGGTCTTGATCTTTAAAAAAAATAAGACAACAAATAGCTAAGTCAAAGAATTTGTAAAAGCTACTAAGCATACTGTGGTTAACTACAAATTTGGGATTCTTTTTAATGATCTTCTTAAAGAAACCAGAAAATGATTCTATTTCCCTATAAAAATAGAGATTATATAACTTCCAAAAGTGAGTAAGAATTCACTAATGAAAAGGTCACCAAAATCTAAAAATTACTTTAATACTAAAAGATGAAAGTAAATAAATCAGTCTTTCAAAACAAATTCTTGCACGGAAGCAAAGGGTTGGGTTTAAGTAAGAAGTTTCTACCATCTTTTGACTGTCTGTGAAAAAAAATCCCTAAGTTTTATTAAGGAATTCCCATCTTAGTAACCACACTGCACATAGCGTAATTAATATAGGACAATTTTACCTTGACATTCTGGGCATCAACATTAGCTCCAGCTTCCAGAAGAAGACTAATGACTGTGGTATTCCCTGCTAGTACTGCCCAGTGCAGAGCAGTGTTTTTGTGATACTTGTCACCAAGGTTAACTGAAACATTGAATGTTAAAAGCAATCTAGTTGGATCCACACTGAAAAGGAAAAAAAAACACAACAACAACAACAACCCTAATTTCAATTATAGAAATCATTACAGATACTAAACTGATTGTGGTTGCATTCCATCTTGGAACACTTCTATTCTAACCTATATTCAACAAGTTTATAATCAGTAATAGGACAATATTTTAATATGAAGTAT